TGTTTGAAAACTTGTCAAATGCCTCCGATGACCATGTTTTTCATGTTATCATGACCAAATGAGGACCATTGTGTGAATAACCTCAATTCATCATTCCTACCTAGTTTGGTTTGCATTGGCTGTGTAGTTTCTGACAAGAAGATGAACAAGAGGCTCTCAAGAGCTTGAATTGCTCACCTGTAATTTTTTGCTTAAATCTTTCATCAATGATTATTTTTGCTTTTCAATATATATTAATGAGTGGCTTAAAAATGCCATTTAAATATTCTTTGTATCTGTCATATTTTCTTCAAAAGCAAAAAAATGCATTTTACCCCTATGTTCCATTTTAGCCATAGTGGCTATGTTTCTTGACGTACAAGGAAATAAAATACAAAATTTATACAAGATACTCTGAAACTCATTCAGCCCAAGTTTGGCTGAAATTGATTCAGTTTCAAAGGAGATGATTTTTTAAAGTAAGCAAATTAGATCAGATGAACAAATTGTGAAAAATTGTCTTTAAAGGACAATATCTCCTTAAGGGGTCCAATTGACAATTTTGGTCATATAAAACTTATTTGTAGATCTTAAGTTGCTGAACATTTTTGCTGTTTACAGTTTATCTTTATCTATAATAATATTCAAGATAATAACCGATAACTGCAAACTTTCCTTAAAATCATCAATTCAGGGGGCAATAACCTAAAAATCTGAGATTTGGCTGATAATTTCAGGGCGGGTAGACCTTGACCTAATAAATACTTTAACTTCTTGTCTGATTTGCTCTAAATGCTTTAGTTTTTCAGGGCTCGACAATAACGCTTCTCTGATTGTCTGGTAACAGAGGAAAAAAAGGTCGGACAAGTAAAAGCCATATCAAGCTTGTCCGATGGCACAAGTTAAATCATTCTGAAGAAAATAAATTAAATCCAACTTTGATGATCAAAGTAATAAACAAAAAACAAGAAAAGAAGATAAAAACAAATGTTAATTTGACATGTTTACTTGCGATCGATAATTTAAAACTGGTTCTTTGTCAGATGCTTTATAACAGATAAAACGCATACTTTTCTTGGAAACCAGTCTTACTGATGGAATCAGCGATGCGCTTTGTAGATAAGGTAACAAGACACTAGTTTGGAACTGGCACGGAAACAAATCGGCTCCATGTTTAGGTTACAAGAGCGCAATTATTTTTTTACATTTTACCGGCAAGTTTTTTACCCCAAGATGGTACTCAATAGAATCTTGTATGGCTTCTGATTGGATGATACAGAATTGGAATTACTTTCAATAGAAAGCTCATCCAATTAGGTTTAAAAAATCCAGAAAATCAAATTCACAGTTTACAAAGTATAGAAAATATCTTCCATTTCTGCATGTCAGAGCCATTAAAAATATGCCTTTTTCATTAAGCGAAAAAAATAGACGTTGTTTTTCAACATCATTTTAAGTCAATTTTTGCCGCATGACCATATATATTTTTTTGGTTGTTATGCAAGACTGGCATTTCTAGTAACAGGAACTGCTACCCGTTTTTTTCTGGTTTTTGTAGTCTTCAAGAAATGAAATACGGAACACCACTGGTACCCTATGGAAAATGCATTACGAATAATTGCACTCTTGTAACCTTTAATAGACAGTTCGGCGCCTTAGGAGACATTTCTGGACCAAGACAAACCAGTACCTCGTTTCCCTACCTTATTCTGTTGCTTTATAATAAATATGATAATATTTTTTCAAATAAAAATGAAGAAATTATTGACCATAAAATTCATAAAATCATAAAATCATATATGGACAAAACAATTTGTGATTGCGTTTGAATAAACATTTTAATATATTAAAAACAAAGCTGATTGTAGTAAGGCATTAATCATAATAATCAATATTTTATCGACATCAAAGACGAGGATACAAACCAAATGAGTGTAGACTAACAGGCCTACAAGACTGTGCCTCATGTGCAGAGTCTGGTGATACTTTGTCATTGATGAAAACTAGAACCTATGAGTCCTGTGACATGACTAGATTCAGTTGTTCTCAACTCATATTTTTGAAAAGGATATCAAGAGATATAAATCAAATTCTGTTCTATTGTTTTAATTCATTTTGTTCATTGAATTAACTTAAAATCCAAAAAAGGTTAGTATTTGGATTTTTTTTGGACAAGTTACAATTCCATTCGGACAAGTAAGTTTTGGTATGTACGTGTCCTATTGGGCAAGTAGAAAAAAAAGTTACTTTAGAGGCCTGTTTTTGAGATATAAGTCAAAAACTGCATTTTACCCTATGTTCTATTTTTAGCCATGGCGGCCATGTTTTCTGAGGAAACAGAAAATAAAACACCAACTTTATTCTAGATAACCTAAAGATCATTCAGCTTAAGTCTAATTTAAATTGGTTCAAAGTTTCAGAGGAGAAGATTTTTTAAAGTTAGAAAACATGATAAACAAATTGTGTAAAATTGTCCTTAAAGGGCAATAACTTCTTAAGGGGTCAATTGACAATTTTGGTCATATAAAAACTTATTTGTAGATCTTACTTTTCTGAACATTTTTGCTGTTTACATTTTATCTTTATCTATAATAATATTCAAGATAATAACCAAAAACTGCAAAATGTCCTTCAAATTACCAATTTAGTGGCAGCAACCCAACAATGGGTTGTTAGATTCATCTGAAAATTTAAGGGCTGATAGAACTTGACCTAATGAACATTTTTACCCATGTCAGATTTGCTCTAAATGCTTTAGTTTTTGAGATATAAGCCAAAAATTGCATTTTACCCCTATGTTCTATGTCAAGCCATGTCGGCCATGTTTTTTGACGATACAGAAAATAAAACACAAATTTTATTCTAGATACCCTAAGGATCATTCAGCCTAAGTTTGGTAGGAATTGGTTCAGTAGTTTCAGAGGAGAAGATGTTTGAAATAGTTTACACCGGAAGGACGACGACAGACGATGCTGGACGATGCCGGACCCCAAGTGATGGCAAAAGCTCAAAAGTGTTTTTCCGTAGGGTTTCAATGAGAACTTTGTGCTGCTGAATGCCAACATATTTGGTTTTGGTTGTAATGAAATGTCAGATATTGCAAATTACTGAATATGATAAACAGGGAAAAGAATTTACGCAAATAGCTGAACAGAACAGTAAATTAATGCAGCTGACTTTTTTCACATTGTCACATGTACATCAAAGAATTCAAATGAAGTGAACTGTTCTTAATTCTGAGTGAAATTACATACTCATCAAATCCATTGATGGTTCTTCAATATACCAATCCAACAATGGTCCAAAAAAAAAAGGCACATATTTCAGGACATGAGTGACCAGCTATTTGCATTGAATTTGTGCAGGCTTCTCGCAAGAATTCCTCTTCTGAGTGTCGATATTTGAGCAATTTCTCTAAAACAGGTATAACAACTTTACCAGTACCACCATTACAATGCTAAAACAAACAAAGATACTCTATCTAAACAAAGTTCATTACGCAATTAATTAAAAGCACTGCAGAAAATAAATAATTGGAAGGGGAACAAGAAAAATCATGAGGCAAGATCATTTTTTTCCAATTTAAAAACAAAATTTGACAGCAAAAAAACTTTCTTTTGCCATTAATATTTGGTGCTTTTTATTAGCTTTTTTAGGGACTTTAAAAACCCAAGGTATACTATCTTCAGTTTTCATCACATTACATTATAGCCACAAAAGTTAAGAGGAGGGCTAAAATCATATGGCCATTCAAATGCCAATATGATATAAACAAGATTGAATTTCATAAAAATCTGGCAAGAAATATAAGCTAAAAAATCTATTCAATGAGTACATAATCATTTCAAACTATTAACAAATAAGAATTTTTTGTATCAAATTTGTAAACTGCTTTCACACTGTGCAACTCATAATAAAGATTTCAACCATTAGTGAGCTAGGACAGTTTACTTCTGCACACGCATGTATCTCTTAATAAAAACCTTTCAGGATAAACAAGTTGAACTGTGAGCTACTTCTCACTAATGATGGCCCTGTTTGAAGTTTTTGGTAAACATGGAGTTGATTCACAATGAATATGAAAACACATCATAAGGTATGGCATGCTTACATGAATGTTGAAATCAATTTCAGAGTGATCTGATTTGAAGATCCCAAGAAAAATAGATTGTCATTTTGTGTAAAAATATATTAAGTATTCGGTAAAGGTAAACAGGAAGTTGATAGTAAATGAATAATAAAAGAATCACAAGGTTTCGGTTGTTCCCATGCCTGAACAAATTTCAGGAAGTTGTAATAGGCAGTTCACAAGAAAGACGTGACAAAAAATTTCATTCATCATTATATGTGTAAGAATATTATAAGTATGTAAAAAACAACAAGTTTATGAGTGATGAATGTGAAAAAACATTCCACAGTATAGTATGCTCAACAAAGCATGATGACAAATTTCAGGAAGCTCTGATTTGCAATTCTTGAGAAAAATTTGATACCAATCTTCTGGAAAGGACAGACAGACAGATGGAGAGACAGACACACACACTGACAAGCAGGAGTCAAACAACATACCCCATCCTTGGGAGCTGGGGTATAAATATTGAATCAACTTCTCCCTTTTAATTTTTAATTGTTACCAAATGTGTGTTATATTTAAGTCATTTAACCGTTTGAACTTTTGTGTATATATTTATCACTTTAGAGACAGTTACTAATAAATCAGTTGGATTATCACAGCAGTATATTATCACAAGAATTGACACATTAAATCACCTCACTTGCTGATAGTGACAATCAAAAATAAACATAAAATTCAATGTGAACATGTTAGAACTGCACTATATTGACACACCCTGTTAACTTTCTTCAAGAGGAATTACAAAAAAATACTATAACTTCATTTCGGTTAAAAGCTCAAACGAGCTTATATTATGTCGCTTGTTTTTTTTTATACTATATTGACTCTAAATAACGCTTATTTATTGTTATCATTTATCATACTTATTATTCACTTTTAATTTAAATTATCTACTCCCTACCTTGCCCACAAATGAAGGGGCATTGCGAATTATCATTCCCCAAACAGTATCTGAACCATCCTCTAAATCAATCATTTCTCTCTCATCCTCCATACAAAAATTAAGAATTCTGATCACAGTCTGGTTTACTTCATCTGGTATATCTTCTGAGGATCTGAAAATACAAATCTGTTTCTACAGCAAACAATCTTGGTCAACAGTGATTCAATTAAAAGATGCCTGCTTACAATTTTGCAAATGTTTCAACCAAAATCAAAGGAGTAAAACAGTGGTATATTTTGAGAAGTAAATATACCAAATTTCAGGGATCTAGTTGGTGGCAAGATGCCCTTTATGACCCTAAATCAATAACATTAAATCTTTATCTAAATGTTTCAAGGAAAGAAATGTCAACTTCACCTAATAAAGCCTGCAGTATGGATTTTACTCATTGTTGCAGGCCATATGGTGACTATTAGCTGTTAATTTCTGTGTCAATTGGTCTCTTGTGGAGAGTTGTCTCATTGGCATTCATACCACATCTTCTTATTCTTATATCTAAATCCTTTTTGGATAACCAAAGAAAAATCAAAGGGCAAGGTTCCCAGATCCTACTGGAATATCACAAACTGCTGAAAAAGAACCATGTAACAAACTTACATCCACTTCATTTTAACTTTGGTGGATAGTTGTCTCATTGGCAATCATACCATATCTCCTTATTTTTATATTAGTATGCCATTTATAATAACACACCAAAAACTGCTGCATAGAAGATAGCCATTGCTTTGAAACAAAAAATCTATGTGTCTTCTAAATAAATGTCTATAATACATTATGGATTATGAAAATGTTTTAAAACTTTTTTAATGCCTATGGAATAAAATTAAGATTGCTTGTGTCAAAATTTACAGGCTGCTCTGCTATCATATAACTGATTATTGATATTAGGACTTACTAACATAGTAATGAAAAATACTTTTAAGATAAACTGTTAACACTGAGATATGTCTTTAGAAAAACAACAATCTGATGAACAGCAACATTGCTAATTAATTCAAAGTTGCTGGACCATGACATAGAAGGGCAGCGTGTCAAAATGATCGTCAAACTGAGATGTACTGATAGAAATGCATCTGTATAGAAATTATTTTGGCCTATCTGAAGCAGAAAACTTAACATTAAAAATTGCTTATTAATTGAAAGTTGCTGGACCATGACCTAGGGGCAGGGCCTCGAAATAGTTGTCAAACTGATCTGATATGAACTGATAGTAATGCAGCTTTATAGAACATATCATTGATCTATCACAAGAAGTTCCTATCAAACTGACTTAAGCAGAAAACTTTAACAATTGTTGACGTCGTCCCTGACGCCGCCAGAAAAGCTACACCTATGTCTTGCATTCCCAGACTTTCTTCGCAGGCGAGACGAAAAGTTTTTTTCATCTTAAAATTTTTTCAGGTATTATGAGTCATATGAAAAATGTGTTTGGCATATAAAATCTGCACAAGGTTTACATGTACCTTCGACATGAACCACCTGACCTTGACCTCATTTTCATGGTTAATTGGTCAACATAGAAGTTTTCTTGATAAGGTCCATTTTTCAGATACTATAACAAATAGTAAACTATATTTGTAATATAGATTAATGATGTAAGATACACATGTCTGTCTAGCAGGATTCTTTTAACCTTGACCTCATTTTCATAGTTTATCAGTAATCAGTTTAAATTTTGTGATGAAGTCTATTCCTCAAATACTTTAAGCACTAAGTCAACTATATTTGGTGTATAGAATGATTTGTAAGGTGATAATGTCTGTCAGGGTTCATCTAACTTTGAACTCAGTTTATATGATACCTGAAGTAGACTTTCAACATAAAATTCCATCATGATGACTAAAGCTGGCCAGACATTTCAGGATGTCCTGACTCTTGTTTATAATTATTTATGAAATTTTTTGTCAAACAATTGGTTCTTTGCAAATTTTTTTTCTTTAATTTTCTATTATATATAATTTATTAGCCTCCTATTGGAGAGTATATAACAAAGCAAAGACAATTACAATTAATCATATACAAACAACACGAGTTATGAAATACACAGAGACAGTTAATAAAGACAGGATCACGACGAAAAGTTCAATTATTTACATATGTGCTTTAAAGTTTTTTAAAGATAATTTGTGTACTACTAGTAGCAGTTGCAGTTCTGTAACAATTTACAAGAATTGTAAATAAAATTTACACACACAAAGTTAAACTGTTCACGTTCCTCATTCTCTAGATCAAAGTGGGTGTCACAGGCAAGAATACAATTTAGCAATTTATTGTCAGTCATATTTCCTAAGTGAACACTAAATGTAATCGGGTTTATGTCTATAACACTCCTCCAAAATTGATCTCGAGCATCAACTGTATAGGCACATGATAGTATTGCATGGGTACAAGGATCATCAAAAAGTTTACCACATTTATCACATAATGTTCTGTTGTTTTGTAAGTTTTCACGTATAAGACAGCACATTGATGTTACAAAATGGGCCTGCCTGCGCATCAGTGGGTGACGTAGTGCTACTCTCCACGCCGCATGCGATACACAAAACAAGTGAATGTCTTTAAAAACAACAAAATCGGGATCCACTGCCATACGATGATGCCACTCTACTACTTCAACCTGATTAATTGACGACTTGACTATCAATTTCCAAGTTGCAGAACTTGGAAATTGTCCATCATTGAGAAACTGACCTACATATTTCGATAAACCATATTTTGTGAGTATTTCAATAATGTCACAAGCGAAACCTAATCTGGTGTCATATTGATTATATCTAGCATCAATGAGTCTACGGAGAAGAATACAGAATGAAACAGCTGAGTATAGAAGGCGACATGTTCTTCCAAAGAACAACAGTTTTCGTTCACATATAAAACTTTCAATTGAAAGCCATCCTAACAATTACAAGCACATGTCGCTTCTTGTTCTTCTTGGTAAACCTTGTATAAATTTACAAATATAGTGGTGAGTTCTTTCAAGCATCAGTGTTTCAGTCCAGGTAAGTTTTCCCCAGAGTTCACAATCGTATAGTGCTTTTGGATAGCAGAGCTGACGGATAATCTTTGCACATACAATTGGATTTACAATGGCTGGGTGTATTCCAAGGCATATAACTGATGTCGTCGTCGAGCGCAAGGTGCGACAAGCTTTAAGAGTTCTGTCCATTGTTTTTAAAGATGTGTCTAGTTGAATACCAATATGTCGAGCAGAAGTTACATAGTTGATCGGTTCTTGGTATAGATATGTTGGAGTAGAAGTTCTGCGTTTACTGAATTGTAATAATTTGCTTTTTGCTGGTGAAAACATGAAACCCCACATGTTACTATAGTTCTCACATATTGTTACCATCCCTTGTGTCGAAACGCAGTTTGTAGCAATAAGAGCAATATCGTCTGCCTGAACTGGAGAGCTAGCACTAAGATCATGAAAGAATGCACCTTCTTTTGAAGATTCTAGTTCTTTTATAAGGTCATTTATTAAGATCAAGTACAGTTTAGCTGACAACGAACTTCCCTGACGAATACCTCGCTTTAGTTCAAACCATTTAGACAATTTACCATTTGATGACACGACACCATACAGATTAGTGCACATACTGTCAATCAAAAGCCAAAGTTTACCATGAGCTCTGTACTCGTGCAGTTTAAGACGAAGTCCATCATGCGGAACAGTATCGAAAGCTTTCGTGCTGTCGAGTAAAACAATATAAATAGTCCCATTCTTTTCAATATGATGGAGGGTGACTTCTTGAAGATTAAAAGACACATTGAGGCTGCTTAAGAGCTTTTGATACGCTACTTGCTGTCCGTTTGGAAAATCTGTTCGTATGCTGGAGAGCTTAATGTCGGTAAGTTTTTCATACACTTTTGTAATACTTGGTACTAACAAAATTCCCAGATAAGAATTTGTATCAGTTCGGCTTTTGTTATCACCTTTATACAGGAGGATAATCATACTTTAGTGCCATTCCTTTGGTATGTAGGCATATCGCAGAATCAGATTGAATAAATAACACAAGTGCTTCATTAACAGTTTGCCACCAAAACGCAGGTGTTCGTAAGCAATGTCATCATGACCACATGCTTTGTTGCGTTTTAGCTTATTACATATGTCATGAACTTGCAGTGCAAATTTATTATTACTATTTAAATTAAATAACGAGAGTTGATAAAAAACATTTTCAAAGAACTTCAAACTTTTTTGAGTATATATATTTGACTTTTTACAAGCAATAAATTCATAACAAAATAACTTACTTGTAAGATTCTATAAAGTAGTTAAATAAGTCAACCCCATTACTGCGAACCCAATTATCTAGCCATGGATAGTCTTCATCTGTTATTAAAGGTTCAAAACGCCTTGCTAACTCTGGAAGAACATCTGTACATTTCTGTAAAATATATCACAGTTTAAGAAAGTAAATTGATAAACAAACAAGAACATGTGTCCACTGGACACCTTGGACACTATTTGCCTTATATCTAAAAAAAAGTTCTCAAAACATATCAACATGTGTACTTAATTTCCAGTTAATGGGACCTGATTTCATGGTTAACTATCTTATTAAGTCATTTTTTTAAACTGAAACATATCAAAAGGACAGACAAAGGGATGGACTGATTGACAGAATCACAGAAATGAAAACAATGTGCCTCCCTACTACCGTATAGCGGGTTATTTTCACAGGTGTAAAATTTCGCAATTTAGGAAAAACAAAGTACTGTAAATTCAGAAATTATTGCGATGTTTTTTTTATTGCGATAAATGCGACAGGGTTAGAATCGCAATAAATTAAACTCGCATTTTGAAATTTTGTATATGACTTAAACAGAATTTTTCTCAATATCGCAAAAATTAAAATCGCATTATAGTCTAAAATGACAAAATCGCAATAATAAATGTACGCAATAATTTCTGAATTTACAGTATACGAAAAATTTTGGTGGTTGTTATTTTGGCGGATTCTAAAAGGGGCATTAGCTACGAGATATGAAAAAAATTAAAATATGATTTTTTTTCTTCAATCATTAATAAATGTGAAATAGTGAAATAATAATTTGCTTTTAGCAGCCAGTTTGGTTCAATTTAGTCAAAATACGCTAAGAAACATCGCTTATGAATTATTCACTTGCAAGTGAATAAATCGACCTCATTGAATCCGTATTCATGTGACCTTCAATTTAATCCCTTAGCTAGTGATGGGTTACGCATGAATAAGGCATGTTCAGTTATAAAAAGGAAAAGAATGTCAACATTGAAAGTGAAACAAGGGTAATCCATTTGATTGACTGATATGATCCACAAAAACTCATTCTTATACAGGTAAAAACGATGATTAACATTTATATTTTAACCTATAATATGAAATCAAACAGACCTAGAAAAATCTAATTGCACGAGTTCGCTTTCTATTTCTATTTATGTTTATATCAGGTTATATGACAGTCTGCAGTCTTCGGAGGTCACCTCGATGGTTAATTAGATGGCATCTGGACTAAAATACGCACAAAATGCTGATACATATTATCAACTCATGCATTGTAAATTGTTTGTTTTATACTTTTTATAATTTGTATATATGTTTAGTATGTTATAAATCAAATATGAGAATTTGAGTCAAATCGGTGAACATGAATTTGATAGCTAATGCCCTTTTAAATCCCAATTAAATATTTTGGCGGATACTGAAATTGTTGCAGTTAAAAAAGTTGTAAAAATAGAAAAACAAGAGTCTATTGTTATGGTTAAATGATTGTTTTACCTGCATGACGTCTTATTTATTGATTATATTTGATACAGTTAATCAATAGATAACTGGTACTTAGATATTTTTCACAGGTGTACAAACTTCTTGTAAATGTTACGGTCAATAAGTTACGAAAATGACCGGACCTTTGATGTACTAATTAGGTAATAATATTATCAAGAGTGACTTGCAACTCTTATATAATTTGACACCAATTAATAAGGGTAAATACCTGACAGAGTACCTTACACTCTTGTATTATTTGATACTAATACACTAATTAACACCTGACAGCGATTTTATAAATTATATGTGAATAATGCCCTTTGACATTTATATTATTTAATCTAACATAAATCGTTATCCACCCGTCGTCCGTAAAAAAATAGATCGTTTACAAAACGCTTTTTAGCTATTAGAAATTACCAAACGTATGCAAAAATTTTCGCGGAATTCATTTTCACGATTTTCCTTTATCCGCCAAAATAAGCGAAAATAAAAACCCCGCGAAAATAACCCGCTATACGGTATCATAGGTCTGTCAGGCTTATGGAGCACTAATTTTTTGTATAATTCATGGTGCCTTCAACCAGGAAAGTCAGTACCAAATGAAAACATATTTTCAATTGTTCCTGTATATGTTATTCATAACAACACCAATTAAAAAAACCAAAAACCAACACTATTTTCATTAACCACAAAATTTCGAGTTGTCTTCAACTTACAATTTGAAAACCTTGCTAAAAGAAAAGTGTTTCCAAAGAAACATATAGGGAAAGTTCTAAGGTGAAAGATAATTATGGTCAAAGATTGTTTTATTTAAGAGAATTTTTTGACAGGTTCCTTCTGGCTAAATTAATTCATTTTTTATTATCAGGGAATGTAACAAAATCCCTTATAAAGTAGTAACAGATGAGCAGTAAGCAAACTTTACCTGAAAATCCATATCTCCAAAGTATTGATCGATCATATAATTCAGGAGAATTGACTTCTTTTCCATGCGTGACAAAGACATTCGTGCAATGTCAGGCATAATAAGATGCTCTATTTTCAGTATCCTGCAAAACACAGCATACATAAATAAATACTGTTAAGTCTTTACATGAACAAATTTAATTAAAAAATTCCACAAAAAGCCATTAAAATAATTCGTTTGTTTTAAAAGCTCTATTTTAAAATTTGATTCATAATAGTTATAAATGTTTATATACAAATACTTGTAAATTTGGTAAAGAGAGTATAAATCTGGTATAAAATCTTTCGGTTTCCAATTCCAAAATATGTTCTTTAAACAAGAGTGCACAAGATGAAATGTCTCGCCTGCTTTACTGACCATTGATTTTATGTAGAAAGTCTTAAAGATAAAAGTTTTACTACACGTATCACATAAACTTAACATTTTTAAATATCAATGGCAATAAGGTCAAGGTCAGATAATCCTGTCAGACAGACATGTACACCTTACAGTTATTATTCAATATATCAAATAAAGTTCACCTATTGTTTATGGTAATTGAAAAACAGACCAAAACACAAAAACTATAAACATTGATCAATGAACCATAAAATTGAGGTCAAGGTCGGATTATACCTGCCAGACAGACATGTACACCTTACAATCATTCCATACAACAACTATAGTTGACCTATTGCTTATGGTAATTGAAAAACAGACCAAAACACAAAAAAACTTAACATTGACCAATGAACAATGAAATTGAGGTCAAGGTAAGATTATACCAGCCAGCTAAACATGTATACCTTACAACCATTCCATACACCAAATATAGTTGAATTACTGCTGATAGTATTTGAAAAACAGATCATAACACAAACACTTAACATTGACCAATGAACCATGAAAATGAGGTCAAGGTTAGATTATACATGCCAGACAGACATGTACACCTTACAATCATTACATACACCAAATATAGTTGACCTAATGCTTATAGTATTTAAAAAAACAGACAAAAAACACAAAAACTTAACATTGACCTATGAACCATGAAAATGAGGTCAAGGCCAGATGAAACCTGTTAGACTGACATGTACTCCTTGCAATCATTCCAAACACAACATATAATTGACCTACTGCTTATAGTATCTAAGAAACAGACCTAATCATCTAACTTTAAACTTGATCACTGATCCATGAAATGAGGTCAAGGTCAGGTGAACTCTGTCTGATGGACATGAAGACGTTGCAAGGAACCCATATACCAAATATAGTTATCCTATTACTCATAATAAGTGAGAAATTCACATGACAAAAAAACTCTAATTTTTTTTCAAGCACTCACTGAACCATGAAAATGAGGTCATGGTCTCAAGGACAATGGATATATGACAGACGGAAACTTTGTAACATAAGGTATCTGCATACAAGGTAGAGACAAAAACTATTCACTAGGGGCATGTATACCTTTTTTTCCCATCTTCCAAATTGTCATTTTAAAGGAAGTTTATCACCAGAATTGACTTGAACCCCAAAATTAACGTTGCAGGAATTTTTTGTTCATCTACTGGAAATAATTGGGTGAGGATGGGATTTAAAAATTTCCAACTGCAAAAATATAATGCTTCTGCTTCATGCAACTGAATTAGCTTGAATGCCTATGAAGACGCGCAATTGTTAGAACAAAGAACCAACAGTAATTAATTAACTATCTGATTGGACATTTTGAAATGAGCGCCCTATTCTGATTGGTTCTCTAACTAAATCTCACTACACAATTAGGGAACGAGATTTCAACAGCAGCAACTAGGAAAACCCAATCTTCTCATTGGTTAAAAGTTTACAATGACATACAAAGCTAAGGATACACTCATTTCCATAAATGACTGTATCCTGATATGAAGTAACTTAATATGTTGTTGATAAGAGGCAATGCAATCACAAGGATGAATTGCATTTCACTATACTGTGTATTAATACTCAATTTTTATTTATATAAAAATACCACATTAATCTACAGCATTCAGAAATAAGCCCCCCTCCCCCCCTTAACTGACAGTGTAATGTGTTGGAATCTAGACCAGATTCAGAACGGATGCAGAATAGCATCTGACCTACTCTGTTCGGAATGCAGTCTAGAAACCAGTGAATCCAGTTGGGTACTTAAGTAAAACAAACACATGTTTGGGAAAAGAACCACAGTTTAATGCTTATAGTTTTCATATTAATAAAACCACAAACAACATTACAGTTTTCAAACAATACACAAATTAATTAATGAACAATCTGTGGTATTCCAAACTTCCCAAACATGTAAAGTGGAACCAGTAGGGGTAGGTAAGTATAGTTATTTATTTCCCAAGGGCCGCAGCAAATTTATTCATGACTTTCTGTCGATGAGCAAAGGAAGGATCCAAGTATAACTTATATGCATCTGATTTCCAATCACCCTGGGACTGAATATGATCAGCTGGTATCCCACATTCTAAGGCGAAGGAAGCTCCCCCTCTACGAAAACTATGTCCCGAATATTTGGTGCTGTCATAATTTAACAATGATAAGTTATGTTTTAGCATTTTTACAAAGGTGGCATAGGTAAGAGGCGTTACCTTGCCCTGCACTAAGTACAAGAAGACCGGTGATGGGGAGCTTATGGCTGGTACCTGCTTGAAATTAAGAAGGAGAGCCTTAGAGGGACATAAATGAGAGTTGTTCACTCTTGGAAGTGGGATTTCTAACACACGCTCTGAAAATTGAATGGTTTTGGTTTTCACTACTCTTAATCGGACACCCTCTGCATGAAAAGTGATATCTTCTCGAGATAACTGTCGCACAGGATCAAAAGCTGAAAGAGACGGAGCAAATAAATTTGACTTTCTTAAAAAGGAAAAGAAGGCAACTAAGCAGGCTGCCCAAAAGCATAAGTCCTTACTACTGCTTAATGACAACAAAGTGAATATTTCATTTAAAATCTTCGGCGTTAAAGGCAATTTGCTATGAACTGTGCATCCTAATACACGCTTAGCACCTTTTAGTACCGAATCCATAAAAAATGACTCCAATGGAGACGTAATCCCTGCTTCTAAATGTAACAAACGGATAATTGACAAGTAATTATTTATGGAGTTAAACTGTAGTCTCGCAGACAAATAGGCTACATATCTTGCTAAGTTCAAAGGACTCAAAGGAACAAGGGCAATGTTAATTCTTCTACAGAATTCCATATAGGATTTTAAATAGTTCTGATACGTCTTTTTGGTAGACTCAGCATAAGTATGATTTCTAAATTTTGCCACAATACTATCCAGTGTTGTCATCTCCTTGGATGCCAGTGAGCCTAAATAAAAGAAAACGAAGGGCGTTACTAGACATGTGCTTAACCAGATCGCGTACAAGCAATGGTGGTTGAACATAAAACCGCAAAAATTTTTCACAGTAAGTTAAATCATGTAACCGCGAAATGTGATCTGCAAGTATATTTTCTTTGCCTGGCACATGCTTAGCTATTAAATGAAAGTTGTATGTTGCTGACAACCAAAACAACTCGCGCAAAAATGACATCAAACTTGAATTTTTTGATGTACATTTATTGATGCAGCTTACTGTAGCCGCATTATCACAGTAAACTATAATACGCTTGCCACGCCAATTTTGGGCCCATCGCTTTACTGCCAACGCCACCGAAAACGCCTCTAACTCATTAATGCGTAGCTGTGTTGCAAAGGGGTAATCTTCTACCCAGTTAACATAAAACCAATCACTGTGGTAGAAACCCCCTGCACCTGATTTACAAGCATCAGTCACTACTGAAGTGATAGGAACCTTTGCCAAGAAAAAGGACTTCCCATTAAAAGTCGACATAAAGTCATGCCACCATTTTATATCTTGTAATATTTCACCTGACATACGCAATTTATGCCAATCCTGCTTTAAGCGCATTATGCCATTTATGATTCTACGGAGAAAAACTCTCCCGCCTCGAACCACTGCAGACGCCCAATTAAGCTTCCCCGCCAGGGATTGCAATTGCTTTTTCGAAGCATGCTTACGCAATAAAAATTCAGCAAGTTCTGATTTTAAATCAGTTAATTTTGATATAGGCAGCCTAGTCTCTAAAGTGGTAGAATCTATCTCAACCCCCAAAAATACAATTTTTTGACATGGGTCTGTAACTTTAGACCAGCTTATACAAAAACCTAATTTTCGCAACAATGCAATTAATACTGCTAATGCCTGAGCACAACGCTTTTTTGTCCTCTCGCAAATAAAGAAATCATCTAAATATGCTACAATGGTGAAACCTCTGCGTGACATCATTCTTCGAACAGCTTGGGACAATCTATGAAAAATGCCTGGTGCCAATTTTGACCCAAAAGGGAGTTTTTTATCAATAAATGTGTATTCATGACCATCAGGAAATGCCCATTTAAGCCCAGTAACCTTTTGACTTTGTTTACTTATTCTAACAGACCTATATGCAGCCTTTAGGTCCACTTTAGCCATATAAAAATTTTTTGAAACTAACTTGCAAGCATCATCTACTGTTTGGAACCTTTGTTTGTCAAATTCACCTGCAAAATCATTCACTGCAGAACCCATTGGTCTACTACAGTCATGAATGATTCGAACTCCACCGTCAGGTTTTGGAATCACTCCAAGCGGACTAATTATTTTAGGAGGGGTATTTACAAAAACATAGTTTCCATTTTCAATTTCTGTTAGGATCTGCTGATGGGCCTGTTTATAGAAGGGGCTACCGGGTTTTGCTGAAGGGTGATTTTTTGAGCGTATATTTTTTGGTATGGGAACATTCATGACAATGTCGAACCCATGTTCAATGCCAAACAACAAAAATTCTTTATCAAAGTCATCAACCAGTTCTTCTGTCCATGCAGACAGATCAAGTACACGCGAAGGCTTCACCATTGTTCTTAGTTTTTTGTATGCTGAAAAGCTGGATGTTTATCAGCACATGCAGGAATAGCACATACATGTTCAAATTTACAGTGAGACATAAAGCAGCCCTTGCGACTATTAAATTTCTTACAAATCATCTTACCACCTGGTGCATGAGAAGCATATGTGATTAAATGTTGCTTATTGCTCACTCCTTTCGAGCCTTGAGTCTGAGGTGTAGTGCGGGAATACTGACCCTGCAAAAACTTTGGCCTCAAAAACACAGAATGGAGATGTGGAATGTCAGTACCCCATCTGAACTGGTGTTGTTTTTGCAGACGCCGATATTCCCGATCAAAAAACAAGACAGACACCAACTCGCAGCTAGAAAGGAAGAGGTAAACACGCATGGTGTATGACAAATAGTCCATAACTTGTGATGAGGCAAGGTCCCCTACAGCTAACAACTTATGCATAATGGACAAATTTGCCATGGACCATTGTGTTACAGTTAAAGTTTCTAATTTGGGCTTGGCTGGCCCTGACTTAAACACAAGTTTGCCACCTGATGATTCTGAAACTAATTTTTCTTCTGACTCTGTCAGTTCTCCTAAGGTATTAGGTAAAAATTCAGTGATATCAAAATAATTTACATTAGGATCAAAGCTAGCAGATTTTAAAAATATTTGCGGATCTTTCCATGAAAAAATGTCATTGATAAGCAAATTATTGTCTCTACCTTGAGAATGAGAGGATTTAGCATTAAAATCATTGATTGAATGACCATTATTGTCCTTTTGCACTGCCATCATTTTCATAATTTCCTGGATATATGTATCGTCCGCTCTAGGAATGTTCGCATGGACGCCGCCATCTTGAATGTTTACGGAAGTGCTTCTGCCGCCATCTTGGATGTTTACGGAAGTACTACTGTCGCCATCTTTATTGTAAACCCCGCCTCCAATCTCTCTTGTGGTGACTCCGCCTCCGATTTCACTTGTGTTGCGCATTGACGCCCCATTAATATTTCCACCATTCTCGTCTCGACCGGTCTTGAAAGTTTTCTGCAACGCTCTAAGCAAAACTTTTTGCTGGCCTAACGGGATGTTGAAAGTTGGCATATCTTCTGACTCAATCATCGAAATTGCCTCCATAGTGTCAAATCCATGTCTCAATAACTCCGATGAGGTGTTATCGTTTAATTTCATAGTTGCTGCCCACAACTTAACCCGATCACTGTCATTAAAGATCTCCACTTCGCGGTCGCTGTCGCCGTTTTCCGCCATTTTTGCAAGTCTTTAAATGAATTTAAGCAAACGTGGTATTGACTATTGTTCCAAATATAGATTTAAAGTTCACATTAAATCCCGACTAATCGGACCTGCTTTCTGCCTTGACGCTTCCACTACACAAATTCTTTGTGAAACCACAAAAATAGCATCCATTACAACACGCTGCACAGTCTAAAGTAATGCTCCAGTAAACGTGAGCACGATCTGCTGACGATTCCACGATATACGTTTTAATTGTTTCCACTTCTTCTGGAGTTAACAAATACCATTCTGGGATAAGTAAAAATGTTCTTACAAATTTTTCACTATCCATGGTAAAAACGATCTATCCATAAACGAAATTTTACATATATAATTCGTAATTTAAAAATTTCCAACTGCAAAAATATAATGCTTCTGCTTCATGCAACTGAATTAGCTTGAATGCCTATGAAGACGCGCAATTGTTAGAACAAAGAACCAACAGTAATTAATTAACTATCTGATTGGACATTTTGAAATGAGCGCCCTATTCTGATTGGTTCTCTAACTAAATCTCACTACACAATTAGGGAACGAGATTTCAACAGCAGCAACTAGGAAAACCCAATCTTCTCATTGGTTAAAAGTTTACAATGACATACAAAGCTAAGGATACACTCATTTCCATAAATGACTGTATCCTGATATGAAGTAACTTAATATGTTGTTGATAAGAGGCAATGCAATCACAAGGATGAATTGCATTTCACTATACTGTGTATTAATACTCAATTTTTATTTATATAAAAATACCACATTGATAAAATGTTTTTTGGATTTCCAAAAAAAAACAAAAATTATAAATTTGTTATTCAAAATGTTTTTTAGGGAATAGTAAAGTGGAACAATGCAGGTCTTGAGAGGCAAACATTTTTTTGGATTGCTAATGATATGATTTTTTTAATTTTCTTAAAAGTGATAGTATTTTTCCAAAATAGGTTTGATTTTTTTTCAGAAATTTAGTGTTAAGATCAAATAAATTGATTAAATTTTTGTTTTGACTACTACTACACAGTGAATCAGTAAACATGATCTGAACAAAGTAAACATTTCAAAGTCAGTAAAATATGATTAAGGTGGCGGAGCCTCATATTCTCCTAAAAATGAGAGCACATGGATGATGAAGCAATAGCAATGGTATATGGCCACTAGATTACTGACCAGCAGGAGTCCCTTTTTCACATTTTTGTGTGAGGCACACAATCGATTATTTAATTTTCATGTTTGGGTTGTTACAAGAAATCACAAAATATGATACCCAAGGAACATGCATTGCTTAAATGTTTGCATCAATATTAAATAATTTAGTGCCAAAATAAATATATTTTTCAATTGATTCTAAAGTATTAATCTTAAAACTATGCGATTATTAAAATGGCAACCATTAGATCCTTTGAAAATGACATATTCCCCATATTCCCCATTTCCATTCTCAATTTTATTTGATGGATAATTTTTCGAAAATATTAGTTTATTGGATAGTTTTTGAAACCAGAAATCAATTTATGATACAAAAAAAAATGAAATAGCAGTAGAAGAATTTGTGCAAATTTGGTTGAAATCTGTCATGCATTTTGGAATCAAATTTTGCACCTCACAGACTCCACTCAAAGGACATGCAATAGTTCTATTAATATCAATCAATGTGAAATTGATTAAATCTGTATTATGTTATTTTTGTTTAACTCTCATACATTAATTTTCATATATAATATGGTAAGCTCTTTTAGATACATACCTAGCAAATATTTGACATTTTCCCCTTTATTCACCGATACTTTTGAGGAATAATATTCTCTAACATAAAGTCCTTCTTACTTGAACATTTCCATGAGTTCTTTGATAGCATTCCCACATTCAGAATTAATATCTCTTTCATCCCTGTCACCTTCTTCTAGTGGAAGGTCTACTTTCTCTGCATTTGCTATCATGTCTTTAGCCTCCTGGATATTTTCCTGAAATTAAGTTAACATTTATACATCTTATGTCTCCCCTATTGTCAAATATCTGCTGTTTCAAAATTTCATTCAAAGGCTCCTATCTAATTTTTCTTAAAACTATGTGTTACACATCCATTTTTGGTCAAATATGTCAATTTCAACATGTTTATGGTGTCATAGTGACAGCACAATCGACATTTCTGCACCGAAATATCCAGAATATATCCTATAATTATATTTTCCATAAAGTTTACTTATTTTTGATTGAAGAATATTACCATTTTTTTGCAACTTCTGACAGAGGCTAAATAATGGCTCTTAGCATACCTACTCCTTTGAATTTATGAATCTGAATAAATGTGGATTGTGTCCACATGTGTCCACAGATGATGCCCCCACTTGCATATCATATAGTTATAAAGGGACATAACTGAAGAACATTAAAAGTGAAGCTACCCACATTTGAACTTGATCTGAGTTTTGTGGTAATAAGCATTGTGTGTAAGTCTCATAACATTTGGTTGAGGCAAACTTAAGTTAGAGAACGGAAACTAAAAGTTTTGCAATTTTTCCATTTATAAAGGCGCATTTCTCTAGAACGGTTTAAGTGACAACACCAAAATTCACCCTTGATCTGTATTTTGTGATAATTAGCATTGTGTATAAGTTTCATAACATTTGGTTGAGGCAAACTTAAATTAGAGAAGGGAAACTAATAATTTTGCAATTTTTCCATTTATAAAGGAGCATTACTCTAGAATGGTTAGAGTGACGCTACCAAAATTCAAACTTGATCTGTATTTAGTGTTAATAAGCATTGTGTGTAAGTTTCATAACATTTGGTTGAGGCAAACTTAAGTTAGAGAACGGAAACGAAAAATTTAGCAATTTTTCCATTTGTAAAGGGGCATAACTCTAGAACAGTTAAAGTGACGCCACCAAAATTCAAACTTGATCTGTGTTTTGTGGTAATAAGCATTGTGTATAAGTTTCATAACATTTGGTTGAGGCAAACTTAAATTAGAGAAGGGAAACTAATAATTTTGCAATTTTTCCATTTATAAAGGAGCATAACTCTAGAATGGTTAGAGTGACGCTACCAAAATTCAAACTTGATCTGTATTTAGTGGTAATAAGCATTGTGTGTAAGTTTCATAACATTTGGTTGAGGCAAACTTAAGTTAGAGAACGGAAACGAAAAATTTAGCAATTTTTCCATTTGTAAAGGGGCATAACTCTAGAACAGTTAAAGTGACGCCACCAAAATTCAAACTTGATCTGTGTTTTGTGGTAATAAGCATTGTGTTTAGTTTCATAACATTTGGTTGAGGCAAACTAAAGTTAGAGAACGGAAAACAATTTTGGGACGTACGTACGTACGTACAGACGGACAAGGGTAAATCTTAATGCCCCCTCTGCTACGGCGGGGGCATAAAAATTAAATCAATCTTATATCAGGAAGCAGCAAAATGGCTTATCACTCTACATAATCAAGTTTCAAACTAAATATAAAACCAATCCTTTATATAGAGATTGAGTAATATGGAGAAACAATGTGGTTGATGCGTGAACCAAATATTTCAATGATGTTTCACAAAATTAAAAGCTCAATTATCTTTATTGAAAAATTTTTTAAATTTCATTTCATCTTGACTTCCATTTTGTTTTCTGCAAATAATGTTTTTAACTAGTCTTCATTATTTTAGAGTAAAAGAGTCATTGGGAGTTAGACAAATAACATGTTTATGATGCACCTTTGAACACCTATGACATTTATATATTTTTACTCTTCACAAATAAATTTGAAACAATCTTATCAAATATTTCTATAGGTCAATAAGGTGTTTCAAGAAATAAGATAGTTATGAAAACTAAGAGTTGACCAATAAATCATATAAATGAGGTCAAAGCCAGATGAACTCTGTTAGAAGGACATGTACATCTCACAATCGTTCTATACAGCAATATTGGTTGACCTTTTACTGATACTACCTGAGAAATGGACTGTATCCCAAAAACTTAACATTGACTAATGAACCATAGAATTGAGGTCAAGATAAGCTTAACCCTGCCAGATAGACATGTATACCTTAAGCTCGCAATAACTCTATATACCAAATGTAAATGTCCCATTACTAGTGATAACAGAAAAAAATTCAGAAGTTTTTTATAGCAATGACTGAACCACAAGAATGAGGTCAAGGACAAGGGACATATGACAGATGGTACTATAAGACATATCAATTTTTTTGCAGTCAGACAATAAAAACATATACAGATTTTTATTCATTATAATGGCCTAGTCCGCAAGATAATCGACTGACAAATATTTTTTACTGAACATTTCATATTAACCAAATTTTCAAATTGCAAGAGAATGAAAAACAAATTCTTTAATAACATGAACACTAGAAAGCTCATCCTTCAAAAACTGTGTAGAACTTTGTGATTATGATAACAAATATTGAATAATTATTGTGTTAGCCAGGCCTGATATGCCAAAAAGATTGTCAAAACTGTAGAGTTGAGGACAAAACTGTGTGTAATGCATACTTAATATACCCCATTCAGTAAAGAGGGAATTTAAAGTGAATGTTGTATTTAGATATAAGAAGATGTGGTATGAGTGCCAATGAGACAACTCTCCATCCAAGTCAAAATTTATAAAAGTAAACCATTATAGGTCAAAGTACGGTCTTCAACACGGAGCCTTGGCTCACACACGAACAGCAAGCTATAAAGGGCCCCAAAAATTACTAGTGTAAAACCATTCAAACAGGATGTATTTGTTCCTTCATCTAACCTTTTTCTGGTTTGTTTACTTGTTCATTCATTTGCTCATTTAACTGATTTAATATATTTGTAACTCCCCCAAAAACCATCTACTGAATTTCAAAAACTTTCTGTGGAAAAAATCTTCTGTATCAAATAGCATTTTGCACAATGCACATTCTATCTTTTTTATTTGAAAATTTTTGAAGTTTATCATAAAATAATTTAATTTTGGATGTAACACGCCTTCTGATTGGCTGAAAGTTTTTTGTCTATCAGTTCATAGACATAATTTTGTAATGTGATCGTGACGTCATCAACATTTTTTTCATGATTTACTCCTTTAAGATGGAATTTAGAATTCAATTTTAAGGAATGACTGTAATATTTTTTCTGTCTATTTGAAATATCCTAAAAAATGTGGTGCAGACTTTTAAATAAACCGCTCTGCGGGTTATTCAGTGTGCACTACATTTTTGATGTTATTTTTTCATACACAGAATTTTTTTTTACAGTCATTCCTTAAACAACACGTACTAGCTTTACCCATTTCCATGCAATGGGTTAGTAAGGGTATGAATCTGTGCTCTCTCCTCAGCTTTTTTCTAGTACAAACAGCTAATATGGTATCAATATTTGTGTATTAGCTTGAGCAAGATATCTGTGAAAATTGATAATAAAAAAAAACATCTTTTTTTTAAAAGTCAGAAGCAGTTGCATTTGTTTGAAAAATTTATACCTTCCAGTTCCACATCCTTCTGAACTTGGTATTTTCCAATATATCCTTAACAGTATACATAAACTTCTTGGTAGGAACTAACCACATAGCTTTAAGAAGAGGAAACCAATACCTCTCATCTCCTCTGTAATGTATACATCACAATATTGTATATAGTTAAAAGAAGATTTAACATTTAGACAGTAGCCAAACAACAAAGGTACCTCAAATCTATCAAATCTATTTTTGTATTAATACATAAAAGAAAAGCTGAAAAAATACCTTATTTACATTTGAATTTCTGTTTTCATCATTTAACTGTA